TTGTGCAGAAGCTTTTTATATTGATGTAGTCCCATTTGTTTATTTTCTCCTTAGTTTTCATTGCCTTAGGACCTGTATCGGTAAAGATATTGCTAGGACAAATGTCTACTATTTTGCTGCCTATGGCTTCTTTTAGTTTTTATGTTTTCCTGTGTTACGTTTAAGTCCTTTATCCATTTTGATTTATTTTTGTGTATGGTGTAAGTTGGTGGTCTAGTTTCATTTTTTTGCAAGTATCTGTCCAATTTTCCCAACACCATTTATTGAAGAGACTGTCTTGACTCCATTGTATGCTCTTGCCTCTTTTATCAAATATTAATTGAGCATAATGGCTTGGGTTGATCTCTGGGTTCTCTGCTCTGTTCCATTGGTCTATATGTCTGTTCTAGTGCCAGTACCAGACAGTTTTCAGAACAGTGGCTTTGTACTATAGCTTGATATCTGGTATTGTGATCCCTCCAACTTTGTTCTTCTTTCTCAGGATTGCTGTGGCTATTCGGGGTCTATTTTAATTCCATGTGAATTCTTGGAGAGTTTATTCTAGGTCTTTGAAGTATGCTGTTGGTATTTTAATGGGGACTGCATTGAATCTATAGATTGTTTTGGGTAGTATGGACATTTTAATGATGTTGATTTTACCAATCTATGAACATGGTATATTCTTCCATTTGTTTATGTCTTCCTCTATCTCTTTTTTCAGTGTCCTGTAATTTTCTGAGTACAGGTCCTTTACCTCCTTGGTTAAATTTAATCCTAGGGATCTTAAATTTTTTATTACAATGGTAGGGATTGTTTTTTTTTGTTTTGTTTTTTTTGTTTGTTTTAGTTTCTCTTTCTGTGAGTTCATTTTTGGTGTATAAAAAAGCCATAGATTTCTGGGTGTTAATTTTGTATCCTGCTACATTGCCGAATCAATTTATTAGTTCTAGTAGTTTTTTGATGGAGTCTTTAGAGTTTTCTATGTACAATATCATGTCATCTTTGAATAATTACAATTTTACTACTTCTTTTCCAATTTGGATGCCTTTTATTTTTTCTTCTTCTTGTATGTGCCCTGACCAGAAATCCAACCCCCAATCTTGGCACATGGGGCCGACACTCCAACCCATTGAGATACCCAGGCCAGGGCTGATTTATGCTTTTGATATTAAGAGAAAAGGAATGTATTGTTTGTTTGCATAACTCTGCCTAAATAACATCCTAAGAAGTCTTAATATGATCTTAAAACCAAGTTAACTGTAATATAGAGAAATCAAATATTAATGAAATATTGTGCTTCCAACTAATTTAGACTGCAAAGCATAATGCCAAATGGAAATTTTTAAATCTTGTACTTAAGATAGCAAAATATGCCCTTATCAAATTTGGAAAAATATCTGCAGACTGCAAAGAACTAAAATAAACTGTGGGCTTAGATTTACTGAGTTAGAACTATGTCCTTAATATTAAACAGTAATGTAATTACTCTGCAAATAATGTAATTCTTTATAATTAATTGCTTCGGGTATAAAAAGTACATATAATTCCCTCTTCTGAGTCACCTTGAAACATGGGTGATAATTTATCACACCTTAAGCCCTTATGCAAATATACTCCCGTCACATTTTTCTTGTCATGACACTATGAAACTGAATATAAAATATCATTTGATAAGAGTATTTTAATACATGTAATGACCTTTTAAATCCACTTTATAGAATAACTGTACTTACTCTGCTATTTATTTTTGCAAGTCAGTGGGCTGTTACAGACATGTATTCTCTGAATAATTATGCAACTTTTATAATAAAAAAGCCAGGAATATGACAGTGAGTTCACAATACACAAAATGAGAAACCTATTAAAATTGTTCAGGAACAATTAAGAGCACAAGAAATATGAGAAATGAAATTTAAAAGAAGCTGAGCAATCAATAACTGTCATGTAAAATCACTATCTGCTTCTCATAAAATCGATTTACCTTTGGCGAACCAGTTGGGCTGCCACAGGGAGAACGAACGATGCCTTTCTGAATCAGATCCAGGCGGGGAGGCACAGGCGGCAGGCTAAGATGTGGGATCTGCAGAGGGTCCTGTTGGGGCTTTCTTCTCTGTGCAAGGGGAGATGACCCTGGTGAGGTGACCGGTGAATTCTGCCTGTCAGCACACTAGGATAAAAAAATATAACAATGCTGTTTATTTGATGTGTAAAGTGAATGCTTTTCAAAAGGAAGACATTTGGCTTTGAGAAGGTGTCTGGCATTTGAACATCTGCTGAAATAAACTCACTTAGTTAACTCTGATTAATAGATGGAAAGAGCTCACACTGTCCCTCAAGGGTGCTATTATATAAAGAATAAATAGACAAGTTTCTCCTACATATTGCAGAAAAGGCCTGAGGAAAAAAAGAACAGCAAAAGCGTAGTTTAAAAACAATTGAATGCAGACATTGTTCTAGAGGAAAGGAGAAACACACAATGAAGTAATACACATTGTTCTTGGTTATCTGTATTATAGAATTTTCTTCGGTCTTTGATTTATAGCACATAGTAGAACTTAGAAACTATTTTGTTCCATATAAAATATGTATGTATCCAGTATGTAGTCTACTTTCCTACAAACCAATTAAATCAGGCAGGGTTTTAAAAAATTGTGTATTTAAAATAAACAGGTTTGAGCCCAAGTATTTTCTTCCCAAGCCTTCATATGGAAAATGAATTTTCAAGTTAAATGTTATTTTTTTTAAATCGATTAACTAAATCTATAAAAGTCTGTGCTTCTGCTAAAAACTAATATATTTCTATGCCACTACGGGTTTTCCATTTTGTCTGGTAGATAGCATCAAAAAGCCAATAACAAGTACTTCTATTTCTATGTATATTACACTTTCTGCTTTGGAAGTTGTTTTTGTTAATGTGAAATAACCTGATTGCTACTTGGTACAAAAGCCATACTAATTAATCAAGTGGCCTCACTGGGACAAACAACAATCTGTTCTGAAATTTAGGCAGTTTCCTTTTCAAGGGTGTTAACTAGCTTGTTGGAGATGTAGGCTTAATTTTTACACTCACTGCATCAATCTAGTGTGCTTTGATATTCACCTGTTTCCTAATATTAGTATTTATAAAGAGTTTAAGCTTGTTGCTAAGCCATTTCTCCTCTAGCATTACTCACCTTTAGAAGAGTAGTCAATGTCAAAAAAATTGACAATTTAATTCAAAATCTAGTGACATTGAGGAAGATTTAGCCATTCTGTCTTTATCTAACTGAGATGGGATGACAAATTTGTGTTCATATCCACACTTAGTTACATTATGTAAAAATTTATTTCTAACTCACTATAATTGGGTTTTATCTTATGTTTTTCTCATGATTAGACAGGGGTTGTTGGTTTGATAAGAAAGACAACAGAGGTAAAGTAACATTTGAACCACTTCATGTCAAAGGTCCACACTATCAATAGGACTGATCAGTGCTGATGTTGATCTTGATTATCTGGGTGATGTATTAACATTAACTGTCATTGTTTCTTCACTGTAAACTATAAAGTTACTCTCTTTTCTCACCCTTTCCCTACTGTACTCTTTGCAAGAAAGTAATTATGCACAGACCACACTCAAGAAGTGGGGTGTTATGTTCCCCCTTGTAAAGGTTTTAAATAAAGTTGAGTGCCTAAACAGAAGACCATACCTCAGATATGCCAGAATACTGTCATGAAATTACTAAAATCTCAAGTCTTTGTCTCTTTCAATTAATGCCAAATAATGTTTAAAAGGTTAACACATTTAGACATAACTTCATGACAATTTTAAGAACCTATTCTTTTTAGCAATTTTAAGATTCTCTTTATATCTCTTATATGTGATAAGACAAAATATCTTCAATTGTTACTAAATTGAAAGAGAAAATAGTAGAAACTGTATAGTTATAAACTGATTTTAATGCAGTCAGTGATTCTTAACAAAAGAACAATTCCACCCATAAAGTCATCGGGCCGTAATATGGTCATGAACTTGATTGAACCTTATGGAATTAAAGCTATCAAATAATGATCATAGAACAAAAATAATTCCTGATTAAAGATATGTGCATCACAGTGTCATAGCATTTCAGATCAGAAGATAACACAGCCAGCTAATTCTCCACAATTCCCTTTAAGATAAATTACATTCTCTGAGAACTAGCAAGATTTAACTGATAAAAATACTTTGTTGATCTGGTTATTCTCCTTTACAAAAAAACAAAACAAAAAAACAAACTCAAGAAGCAAGCTATTTACACAATTCCTACCCCAAACAATTTATTCCTATTCCAAGAAACACAACAATTGCACTTCACTAATTTAGGTATTTGCAGAGAAAATTTTCAGTGCTAGGTGCACACACTGCCAAGGCTACTGAGCAAGACGTATGTTCCTCCAAGAACTTTTCTTCCACAGCTATCTTCCCATTTCCCTCATTACCTGAAACAGCCCACTACCATCAGAACTTGACTTCCACTTTAATTGATAATATTTAAGTAATTACCAAGTTCCTGGTATGTTTAAATAATGGGGTGGATTTTATTTGAAGTGGATGAATTATTAGACATGGAAAGGGTATAATGAAAGTCGTTGAGACAGACACCCAAACCAATGTGTGTGGTGCAGCAACAACCTTGAACTTGTAGATATTTCCAGACAAGCACACTGTGTTACAGCTATGATTGTAATTGGAAGCAGACCTCACTTAGCACAATTCATATTATATTCTCAAGGTGATTATGGACTGTCCTTCTGAAGAACTAATTCATTTTGAAGCATTACAGTACCTGTAAGTTGGCTAGGGTAGAATAATTTTGGGGAGAACTGATCTGTATGTAGAGGGACAAGAATGTTTTATCTTTATTGATTATGTGAATTAAATTCACCATAACTTATTCATTTTTCCAAGTTCTCCTAAAGCACAGTAGATAATTTAGCAATGCCCTTTAGATAATAATGCATTATTCTTTGCTGAACACAGCTATCTCTATGAACAATTCTGCAATTAGAGGATTGAGTCTTTGCGTCAGCTTTTATTGCTGATAAAATTCAATGCTAACTATGAACATTTCTAAAAATTCTTAGTAGGTGGGCACATAAAGGGTCATTTTTAATTTATTTGAATAATTACCATTTTTATTTCCTTCCTACTTGAAAGTCTAAGGAACAAAGAAGCCTAACACAATGCTTCACACCCCAGCTCATAAATAAATGTTTAGGTGAGACATTAAAAATTCATGACATCAAACTTATCAGTTCAACTTACAGAAAAGAAAGGAAAGCCATTTTTCCCTTCTGAAAACAGAGAAGCAAAACAGATTGATTTAATGTATATCCAAATTATTTCTTCTTTAAACTACACCTGTCTCTATATAATATTTGAACATTCAATAGTCAACTGTAAAGAACTTTAATTTCTAAAGTATCATAATTTACCTGTTATAGGTAGTCAATAGGAGTGACAAAGGGATGTATCCAGTCATCTTTAGTCTACTGATTCTATTCTCTTCAAAGATTCCACAAACATTCCTCTTAGCCCTTCACTCTGCCTTCTTCTTCCATAGATCACTTAAGTCATTTATCTTTCTCTACTTCTGACAGGTGATAAAGGGAGCTTGGGGGGATAAACAACAACAAACAACAATACTGGAATCCATCCTCAGGCTTAAATTCTAAGATTGTGCTAATTTAATCACCTCTTACTGATTTGTTCTGTATTCCTCAGAATAACTACTATTTCTTATTCTGTCTAGAAATACAGATTTAAGATATATACCTAAAACATCTTGAGTAGAGAACAGGAAAATTTTATTTAAATTTTGAATAATAAAAGGTAACCATTTTGTTGATAGGGATATACTTGATTGGAATGTGAATTTCAAGTGTAGCTGTCAAGATAAAGGTTTCGAGCCAACTGATTATAAATAAGATTTTTTTAAAAAGAAAACCACATAACCACATAATTAAATGTATAATCTGACTTCATTTGCACATATTTCCTATATGTAAGATTTAAATTTCAGCTAAAACTTTAAATGCCATGCACAAATCACTGCCTATTGCTATTGTTTCTGGTGGATTACAGAATAAGGTTAATTTGTTTCGTGGAGACTTTATGCGTTAATAAAATTAAATGAAATATGATAAAATAAGCTGCTATAAAACATTTAATTTTTATTTGGATGACATAGTTAGGAACACTGACTATTTTTGATATAGAAGTGACAGATGCTACCTATTATACTTCCAGTCAAAGCTTGCTCATTTTCACTGCGAGAAGATAACTCTATTAGATATATCTTTAAACAAAATGTTCTCACCCTTCCTATTTCCTTTTTTGTCCTCCACAATTCCTCTCACTACCAGGCCTAAACAAAGCAATAGTGACAAAATCAAATACCTAAACAAATGGATTATTTCTAGACTAAATACTTACAATGCATTCAAAAGTCAAATAGAAATGCTGCTTGGATTATTTGCTATTAATAACGCTGACCATTAGCACAAAAATGAAGAAAAGTAGTTTAAGAGCAAGAGTAGGTTCATGAGTTTAGGAGAATGTATATTGTCAAACTTTTCCTAGTTTGGGCACTCTGCTACTGTCTTTTCAATTGTGTTTTATTTCATTTGTTTTTCTCCTCATTATTTAGAACACTCTTCATTAAGGCATTCTTAAAAGGATCCAGTCCTTTTTGCCATTGCCTTAAGTGAATTCCTTTTTTTGTTACTCCTTCATCTTAAGCTATCCACTTTATTAAGTTAAGATAACGAAATAGAAAACTATGCAAAAGTTAACTGGTAAAACATAGGAAATAGGATGTGGACAGAATTTATTGCACAATATTAAAATTCATTTATATAGAGGTAACTGCAAGAGTTGGGAAGAATGGAGACATGACTTCAAGTCACCGGATAGCTGATTTGTATAATTCTATTTCTTTATCTTGATTTTGGGTAACATTCAGTTTTTTCTAGTAATATATTTTCTTTTAGAACTTCAGAATAGATTGTCTTTTTTTTTTTTTTCATTTCAACTCCTTTCAAAATACAAAAGTTGGGAACCTGTATTATCAGCATACCAGCATGTGAGTCTAACAATTTTTTACAAGTTCTTTAACACTAGTAGCTGATGAGTACCGCTTTAAC